AAGCAGCTGTCTTTGGCTTAGGTCATGGGATTGAGCCCAGAACTGGGCTCCCTGCTCAGCCAGGAGCCTGCTTCTCCCTCTCCCTGCCATTCTGCCTATTTGTGCTTTCTCTGTCAAATTAATAAATAAGAATCTTAAAAAAAAAAAAAAAAGGTAATCAACAGATCCCTTAAATTTTTTCCAAAACACTTTCAAATAGATTATTCTGTTCAACTTAGGAGCCCATTCCAGACTAAAATAATAGTAGGTATTATTACCATTTTACAGATTAAATATTAACTCTACAGTAGGATAAGTAGTAATGTAATCAAGAGCAAACTATATTGTAATCAATAGCAAAATGAAACTTAAATCTGGGCAATCTGATTTCCAGTTTACTGATCCACTAAGGAAAACTGCATCTCTTCATACTTATTTTGAAGTGTTTCTCAAACTGCTGTGCGTGTGTGTGTGTGTGTGTGTGTGTGTGTGTGTATGTATGTATTAACCTTATCACATGCTGTCCATTCAGTAACTGATAAATTCACAAACAGAAAAAGAGAATGAACACAATTATGTAACTAAAGAACTTAGGATAACACCCCTGTTCTCTTAGGATATATTCCTCATACTGGCTTTTAAAAAAAAAAAAAAAAAAGAAAAAAAAAAAGAAAGGAAAGAATTGGGAAGTAGGAGGGAGAGATAAACATGTTAAAATCCCTTCACAAAAAATTACATATTTCTAATGACATCGAAGTTCGAGTGTTTTGTCTTTATTTTACCTGACAAGATATGGTTAGTGGTTTAATTACTTGTCCTTTCCCTCATTGTATAATAATTTTTTTTCCCGTGTGGAAGCAATCTACCCCCTAAAACCTAACTAAAATTGTTCATTACATCCTCTTCCTAAATGAGACCTCCAGAATATGACATATAAAGGAAAATGGGTTCTTAGGCGTTTCTCCTTTCTAGTAAAAATTCAATACAACTCATGCCAATACTGGAGACAAAAAAAAAAAATCTACTTGGATTTACTGTGGAAAAAAAAAAAAGATTTGTAGCATATTTAAAGCCTACATGTTAATTTCTGTACCATTAACTTCTTGATGCATTCTTTGAAGTCTACAACAAAGGGAGGGAAATAAGTGTTAGATCACAACCTATGAATCTGGGTGGAACAAAGACTTCTCCTTTCATTATGCAGAGAACCAAGTTGCCAAAAACGCTCCGCTCAGATACCATGCGTGGTTACAGACTGCACGTCTGGGTTTAGAGAAGAAAACAATCAAACGCTGGTCAATGCTGTCCCTGCCTCCTCCTGCTCTCGCCCCTTATGCCCGATGCCTCGCCCCAGAGCATGAGCCCCAATCTCTTTCTCCCCAATACACGCGACCCGCTGAACCCTACGAGTTCTACAGCCTCCCGCGTCTTCTACGCAGGCGCTTCCCCCGCCCCAGCAAAACCGGGTTCCAAACCCAGTCGCTACCCCTCTCCCCGCCCGCCGCCCAGACCCCCAAAGGCTGCTCCCACAGACCACTGACGTAAGATAAGGCCAAAGCCGGCCCCGCGGAGCTGCCCCACGCCGAGGCTCGGCTCCCAGTCCCGGAGCTTCCTCCCTTCCTCCCGGCCAAGGCGTGCCCAGAAAGGGACGCCAGCGCGCCCCTCAGTTCTCGTCCGGGCCCCGCAGCGGGCCGAGGAAGGAAGAATCCGCGAAGCCAGCTCCCCTCCCGCCTCTCAGCAGCAGCGAGGTGGACACCCACCCTGCGCTCGCTCCTCGCTCGGGGGCCGACAAGCACCCGGGCGAGGGGCGTCGCTTGCCCCAGAGCCCGGCTGGCAGACAGGGGAAGGTGTGGTTCAGGAGCGGCGGCCTCCAAACTGGGGCCGGCAGTTCCCAGGCCCTCACCCACGACCCCGGTCCCCTGCGCCACCGAATCCTACCCGAGACCCTTCTCCCGGGCCGCAAACGCCGCCGTAGGGGCCAAGGGCTGCCTGGGTCGGAACCCCGTCAGGTGGTGACAGGTGGCGACCGGGGACCATGGCAACTCGAGGTGCTGCGCGGCCGACCCCGCCTCCGCCACCCGGAGTCACTCACCTGAGGGTTCCCGGACCAGTCCAGAGAAGCGGCTGGGGAGAAAGCGACTAAGAGGCCGGAGGACGCGGCCCCGACGCGGCCGGCTCTGGGCTGGGACTGGAGCGCGAGGGCGGAGGTCTGTGTCTGTGCTTGGCGTTGGTCCTCCCTTCTGCCGCCCTCACATCAATCCATCAGACCGTCAGTCCGTTCTTCCCCGAGTCCGCCCGAAGTACCTCTCTGCTCAGCCTCGCAGACTGCGGTTGTCAAGCGGCGTCGGAGCCGAGCTCCAACCCCGAGCCGCAGCCAATCACCGCGCTTCTCCGAGGCGCCTCAGGACCCCGCGGAGGGGCGGCCAGGCAGGTGCCTGAGCCAAAGGGAAAGTCAGCTGGGCGGGCCCAGGCTAGGAGTGGTGGGGGCACGCTTAGATGGACCGGCTCCGGGACTGCGCTCCAAGGACCGACTGGACCCTGAGGAAAAGCTTGCCTGGCGATCGGGTAAGGAACCAGCGCCCCGGACGCAACCCATCGCTGGCGGGTGGCCCTGCGTCCCGAAATAGCGCAGAGGGGACTTCGGAATCGAGAAGTCATCTGCGCATTAGAATCGATTCAACATTCCTCCCCGACAATTTATTAATAAAGACTAATGAAGTAAATCTGGCCTCCTCCCAGTGTCTCTCCGCTTCTGCAGGCCCCACTTCCTCCCGAAAACTCCAGCATCTCATCTGCCCCTTTCTTGATTTCTCCTTTTGTGATGCTGATATGCCTCCGAGCATTTTCCAGTTACTTAACACTTAACGGGATACTAGGGGTTTTTTTACTACCCTTTTTAGGTGTAAGCTCCTTGACAAGAGGATCTCACTTTCCCACCCCACCCGTGCAGTAGTAGTCCACAAATAAACGTGATGCTTCACCGAGCTGAATTGAGCCTTCAGTGGGTATAACCATGTAGAAGAGCTAGGAATAAACTGACACAAACCTCTAACAGCCTCGTCCTCATAAAGGCCAAATGCCAAGAGTGATCTGGGCCTCCCAACTGGGGGAAAGGACGTAAAAGAGAGTGGTAATAATAAACATCAAAAACATTTCTGAACAGGAAGAATTTAATCCAATTCAAGATACAGGGAGCGGTAGTGTGAGGCAAAGTTTCCAAGAAAAATATTTACAAATTCAGGGAAAACAGTTTATGCAAAATTTCTCTTGCCTAGTCCTGATTAACTCCTGGAAGAGTCTTCATTAAGAACTTTCTGTGATAAGTGACAGGCAAATAAATATAAGCACAAGTTAATGTTACCCAGGGTCCGGATATTTGAAAAAAAAGAAAAAAATGGTAAATAATGTTTAAATAGAAAAAGTGGGCAGATATATCCAGGAAATGCAGGTATAGTCTTTGCCAGTATAGTTCATCTGAGAATCTGCTTCTTGATCTTGAGTCTCAAACAATACCAGTTGCAAGAAGCAAGCGTTATTTATTTAAATTTTCAACTAGATCTACAAAGAGTTATTAATCAGGGACAATCTGACAAACATTTGACCACCTATTGAGGGCAGAGCACTACACAATAGGAAGAACCTGTTCTGGTACTAGATTGTTTGGATAGTCATTAAGCATAAGATTAAGTGCTTTCCCTATGTTCTCACTTAAGCCTCACAATCTCCCTTAAAATGCCTGTTAACTATTCCCATTTTAGAGATTAAGGAAAATAATTTGCCCAAGGTCAAACAGCTGTTCTGTAGGAGAGCCAAGATTTTAACTATTATGATTCTTAAACCCTCCTTTTTGAACTCTACCTCAGTGTATCAACTGGAAATTTTAGCTTGAAAAAAGTGGACCTTATTCTGACAAGGTAGAGGGAATAAGAGGTCTTACTCATCTTTATTCCCCCCCCATATCCTGTGGCAAAGTGTTATGTGCATCTAAATTTTCAAAAAGTAGTCATCAGAATTGTTAGAAGCAAATGAATAATCATTATATTTCCAGAAAAGGGGGGTGCAGGTTAGAGAGAAACTAGGCACTGAAATACAAGACATCTGGTACATCTTATCACTCGTTCAGTGATAAATGCATTGACTGTATATTCGCTTCCTAATGTAACATCAAGTTTTACACCACAACCTTAATAGCTGTTAGCCTAGGGTATATCACCTTTCCTTCTATACTCAGCCACACTGGTTAAGATTAGATCTTCTTGTCTTTCACTCTAGTTGCTGCAAAGCAGCGAATTGTTCAGAAAGGACAAGGCTTTCTTAGTTGAAAGACGGTCCTTAGATTCTGAGGTACTGCCTCAATCATTCACCAAATATTTATCCAGTGCCTACTCTGGATCAGGAACTAGGTTAGGCATCATGTGAAAATGCAGGTTCTAACTTGTGGGAATGATTCATAGTGCCTTGTGACTTAAATGCCTGTAGGCTAAGGTGGACCCCTTTTAATAAGACTCTCAAATCTCATTTCTAAAAAGGGAAATAGAAGTTTTTGGGTTTTCCCCAAATAGTGGAAAGGAATCTGAGCACAAGCCTAAATTAGGAAATCTTGCCTCAAGCCATTCAGGGGAAGTTCAGTAGGGATATGCGTTCTTGTTTTAAAAGCTCCACTCTCCTTATTAGAGCACATACACATAAATACACACAGCAAAGAGCTGTGTGCTTTAGAGCTGGGGCACTGCTGGCTCTGGGAGAACAAACAAAATACCACTACTGCAGGTTCTCTCAAATAGGCTCAAGAAATATGTAGGTAGAATACCTGAGTCTATCAGCACTCCTATCCAGACCCCTAAACAAAAGCTTAAATTATAGGTCAATGGCTAAACCTAGGAAAGAAAAACAAATTTTTGTTTTGACATAGAAGAGATTTTTTTTATATATATTAAATAAATATCCTGGATGTTAATATTGAAAACAAAAATAAAATCTTAAAAGTATTTTGTTTTGGCTGCCGTGTGAGCAAGGACGACATGCTTTGGTTACTCTCAGCAACTAAGCTGGTTCCCGCCGTAGCAAGCTCCCGCTGCCTCTCAGGATGCATGTCGTGTTCTCAGCGAAGGTACTCCCTCCAGCCCATCCCAGAGAGGAGAATTCCTAACCGATACTTGGGCCAGCCCAGCCCCTTTACACACCCACACCTCCTCAGACCAGGAGAGGTGACGCCAGGTCTATCTCAAGTGGAGTATGCACTTCGCAGGCACAAACTAATGTCTCTGATCCACAAGGAAACACAAGGGCAGAGTGGGACAGACCAGACAGTGGTTCTGCTGTCCAACCCTACATACTACATGAGCAATGATATCCCCTATACTTTCCACCAAGACAACAATTTCCTGTACCTGTGTGGATTCCAAGAGCCCGATAGCATTCTTGTTCTTCAAAGCCTCCCTGGCAAGCAGTTACCAGCACATAAGGCCATGATTTTTGTGCCTCAGAGAGACCCTAGTCGAGAACTTTGGGATGGCCCACAATCTGGCACCGATGGAGCAATAGCTTTAACGGGAGTGGATGAAGCCTATACACTGGAAGAATTTCAACATCTAGTACCAAAATTGAAAGATGAGACAAATATGGTCTGGTATGACTGGATGAGGCCCTCTCATGCACAGCTTCCCTCTGACTACATGCAGCATCTGACTGAGGTCAAAGCCAGGAGCAAGAATAAGGTTCAAGCTGTCCAGCAGCTGGTACAGCGCCTCCGGCTGATCAAATCTCCTGCAGAAATTGAGAGAATGCAGATTGCTGGGAAGCTAACATCACAGAGAGCAAGAGAGCACAAGCAGGCAGAGCAGCAGAGAGAGCGGGAGAAGCGGGCTCCCCACTGAGCAGGGAGCCCGATGTGGGGCTCGATGTGGGGCTCGATCCCAGGACCCTGGGATCATGACCTGAGCCCAAGCAGTCGTTTAACCAACTGAGCTACCCAAGCACCCCATACATTCCAGCTTTCAAACAGACTTTAATTTTTATTCTTTTCACGGTAGCATCCCTACATTGCCTTGAGTTAATTCTGTCATCCCTAAGGGGTTCATTTGCAGCCCCAGGCTAGTGCTGCATAATGTGTTCCATATTCAGTAGATCTAAAAGAGTTTCTTCTTTACTTCCAGCCATTCAATCACCCATTTGTTAAAATGTCTTGAGTTCCCTGCCAGAGATGACCTGGCATGATATGAAGCAGAGTAATCTTCTTTTTCCATTATTATCTTTACATTAAAAGCCAGTATTTTTACATCTGATGATAGTGGCTCATTGGAATGTTTTTCTTTCTAAAATTCCTCTAAACTCCGATAAATTGAATGTGTCTGCCTTGGGATTTTTATACCCTGGGAAGTTTGAGGCAGTTGCCTTTTCTCTGCCTTACTGTAAAATTATCAAAGCCTGGCACTCTTCAGTTTCTGCCTTTTTATTTCATTTTCAATTAAACATAAAAAACTGAATAGTTTCAGGGAAAAAAAAAGTATTTTGTTTTGGAAGAAAAATAAATACCCCATTTTAATGAAGTCATTGACATACTTCACAATCCAGAAAAGGAAGCTATAGGTTAAGAAATGTTAATAACACATAAATCACATTAAGCATCATAATTTTGGATGGGTATTTTAAGATAAGGTCAATAACTTTCTGGCAATAATCTTGAAACTCTTTAGTAGAACTTGCTAGAAAGATCAAAGAAAAACATGAGATTCACCAAAATGAGTCTAGGTAGGTGTCTTACTTACAAGTCAGGTGCTCCCAAAATACTTATAAAAGTCCTATTTCAGGGGCGCCCGGGTGGCTCAGTGGGTTAAGCCTCTGCCTTTGGCTCAGGTCATGGTCTCAGTGTCCTGGGATCGAGCCCCAGGGTTCTCTGCTCAGCAGGGAGCCTGCTTCCCCCTCTCTCTGCCTACTTGTGATCTCTATCAAATAAATAAACACTATGGAGTATTATGCCTCCATCAGAAAGGATGAATACCCAACTTTTGTAGCAACATGGACGGGACTGGAAGAGATTATGCTGAGTGAAATAAGTCAAGCAGAGAGAGTCAATTATCATATGGTTTCACTTATTTGTAGAGCATAACAAATAACATGGAGGACATGGGGAGATGGAGAGGAGAAGGGAGTTGAGGGAAATTGGAAGGGGAGGTGAACCATGAGAGACTATGGACTCTGAAAAACAACCTGAGGGTCTTGAAGGGGCTGGGGGTGGGAGGTTGGGTGAAAAAGGGAGGGCACTTATTGCATGGAGCACTGGGTGTGGTGCAAAAACAATGAATACTGTTACACTGAAAAGAAATAAAAAAAAAAAAACCTGAAAAAAAAATAAAAGGCAAAAAAAAAAAGTCCTATTACAGAAAATTAAGTACAGTATTAGCTTTTTTTTTTTTTTAAGAGTTTGGTCAGTAACTAGGCTCTTTCCTACGAAATTTTCAGTTATTTATCTAAAATTGCCACACAGGGGCACCTGGTAGACTCAATCAATTGAGCATCCAACTCTTGATTTCGTTTCAGGTTGTGATCTCAGGGTTGTGAAATTGAGCCCCTAGTTAGGCTCCGTGATCAGAGCTCAGCAAAGGAGTCTACCTGATGATTCTCTCCCTCTTCTTTTGACACCCCCACTCCTGTGTGCCCCCTCACACACTCTCTCTCTCAAATAAATAAAGATTTTATTTATTTATTTGAGAGAGACAGAGACAGAGTGAGAGAGCATGAGAGCGGAGGTCAGAGGGAGAAGCAGACTCCCCATGGAGCTGGGATCCTGATGTGGAACTCGATCCCAGGACTCCGGGATCATGACCCAAGCCGAAGGCAGTCGCTTAACCAGCTGAGCCACCCAGGCGCCCTCTCTCTCAAATAAATAAATCTTAAAAAAAATAAAATAAAATAGCCTTACAAAGCAAATGACAAATGATTTACATTTCAGCATTTATTCTTCCTATTCTAAACGAATATACCCGGGGCCCCTGGGTGGCTCAGTGGGTTAAGCCTCTGCCTTCGGCTCAGGTCATGGTCTCAGGGTCCTGGGATTGAGCCCCGCATCGAGCTCCTTGCTCAGCCGGGAGCCTGCTTCTCCCTCTCCCTCCATCTGCCTCTCTGCTTACTTGTAATCTCCATCTCTCTGTCAAATAAATAAATAAAATCTTAAAAAAAAAAAAGAAAGAAAGAAAGAAAAGGAATAGAAAAAAGAATACACCCAAGTTCAGAGCAGCTTACCGGGCTTTCTGTGTGAGGATGTGCATAGAAGACTGAATGCTACAAATTATACATGAATTGGGATTTTGTACAAAAGTTCAGATTGAGACTCTTCCCAATCAACTGGTAATAGTTAAGAAATTTCCTCCTTACTTTACCTCTGTAACTTTAGAATTCTACTCATCCAGATACCAGACAGCCCTATAGTATCTGTGCTATGCCTCAAACAAAACAGGTGCTTACTAAATACTTGCTGATACACCAAAATGTTTTCTGTGATCCTATCCCATGAAATAACAGTCTAGCTCATGGAGTCTTTCACCAGGACCCAGGAAAAGCAGTAGCCTGTAACAACATATTTAACACCTTGCTCACTGGTTATCTATCTACTTCCCAGTCTCTGTGTTAAGAAGATAAATATAGGGACGCTAAGAAAATCGGGCCTAGAGGCGCCTGGGTGGTTCAGTCATTAAGGAAATCAGGCCTAGAGAATTGGGAATGTTCTGGGATACAGTCAGAGTGCTTAAAAAGTTCTTGATTTTCAGGCACAATGCTCCGTGTCATCAGCTCTTGGGAGCAAATCTGAAGCTTCCCTGAAGATACTGGAAATAAAATTGCTCTGTGAATTACCTCTGAGCTCAACATGTGAATGAATTAGAGTAGAAATATACAAAAACACCAAAAGACCATGTTTGGATGGGTATTGTCACTGGAAGTGAAAACTCAAGTCAAGTCTCCAGTGTTAGCAGCAAAGGAATCTTGAAGATTGCTTCTCAGGAAACACACCCCAGCCCACGGCTTCAGGGCCTAGGGAGCCATTCTTCCTGTTTCTGTATAAATCTTATCCTTCTCTTACCCAATGCTCTAGGCAATGCATTCATCTAACTCTCCTCATTCTGATTCACCTTCATATTTATATTTTCATTTCCCATATTCCCAGGATAGGGAAGAATTTGCTGGTCAAACCCATGAAAGTTTTACCGCATCTATAAATTGGTATCCCTCTTCATACGCTGGCCTTACAAGCTTGGTTTCTAAGTCTACCCTGAAAGATGGATGTGCTGTCCATCTGCTGATGAAATCAGTTTCCAAGCCTGCAGGGTGCAAATCAAACTCTGGACTACACGTTCACCCAAGCAATGCAGCCCCCTGAGGCCTCTTGGGAAGTGGTCAGCTGACTCTCCAGACACTACCTCTTTCCACCAATGAGGAGCCAAGGGAGCTACTGATATACCAAAGGAGCCCATAAAAAAATTTCCACACTTAGATTATTACAGCTTTTACTTAAGAAAATCAGTTTAACTGCAGTAAAACCAATTTCAAGCGACTCATAAGTTATATCAGATGTTCTGTTAGAGCATGAAGCAAATAAACATGCTAGCTAAAAAAAAAGGTGTAATTCTTTAAAGAGAAAGCCTCACTTAAACAAGTAGGGAAAGAAGAGCTACTAGAGATTAATAGAAATTAGACCCACCCAATCCAATGGGTAACCAAATACAGTGGGTGAAACCTTGTTTAGATTTTATTGCAAATAGCCTGTGGGAGGTAAAATAACAGCCCCTCCCAAAGACCTTAACATCTTAATCCTCAGAATCTGTGAATATGTTACTTTACATGGTAAGAGACTTTGCTGGTGTGATTAGTTAAGGGTTTTAAAATGGTCAGGTAGGGGCGCCTGGGTGGCTCAAGCAGTTAAAATGGTCAGGTTATTCTGGGTTATCCAGATGGGTCCAATTGGACCCATCTGGATAACCCAGAATTCTAAGGATCACCTGGGTCCTTAGAAGCTGAGAACCTTACCCAGCGGGGGTCAGAGTGAGATAGGATTATGGAAGAAAGATCAGAAAGATGCAGCATTGCTAACTTGGAAGACAGAAGGGGACTAAGAGCGAAAGAATGTACGCCCTAGATGTTGGAAAATGCAAGTAAACAGGTTCTCTCCTAGAATATCCAGAAAGGAATGTAGTACCTTGATTTTAGCACCAGTGAGGCCCCTATCAGACTTCTGACCTAAAGAACTGGTAAGATAATGACTTTGTTGTTTTAAGTCACTAAATTTAATCTGTTACAGAAACAATAGAAAACAGATATACAAACTCTAAAAGATATTTTGAGACAAATTAGGAGATTTAAACAAGGATTGGGTATTAAATGGAGTATTAAGGAATTAATGTTAATTTGTGTTAGGGTATAATAGCAGTATTTGGACTACCTTTTAAAACTTTTTGTTAGAGACGACATAATGAAGTATTTATAGTTGAAATGATACAATGAAAGCTGTGATTTGCCTTAAAATGCTGCCCCTTTCCCCCCCAAAGGTGGGGGAATATATAAGACATTAAAATTGGCAAAGGTTAGTTAATTGCTGAAGATGGGGGCTCATGATACTATTCTATTACTCTGTATACTTCAGGTTTTTCATAATACGTTTTTTTTTTTTTAAGATTTCATTTATTTATTTGAGAGAGAGACAGTGAGAGAGAGCATGAGCGAGGAGAAGGTCAGAGAGAGAAGCAGACTCCCCGCGGAGCCAGGAGCCTGATGCGGAGACTCGATCCCGGGACTCCAGGATCATGACCTGAGCCGAAGGCAGTCGTCCAAACAACTGAGCCACCCAGGCATCCCCATAATAAGTTTTTTAAAGCAAATTGAATTAAGAAAAAGCACCTGAACACTACAGAACAGCACTGTCCCAAATAGTTTTCTGTGATGATGAAAAAAAGGTTCTGCGTCTGCATTGTTCAATGCCTTAGCCCCTAGCCATGGGGCTGATGAGCGCCTGAAATACAGCCAGTACAACTGAAGAATTGAAGGTTTCATTTCATTTAATTTGAAT